AGTCTCGTATCACCGAAATCCAACTCTGATCTCTGTCCAACTGGATAGTCTCCAATCTGAAGAAGAAGAAGAAGAAGAAGAAGAAGAAGAAGGAGGAAGAGGAGAGAGAGAGAGAGGGGACTGGCGAGGGAGAGGAGGAGAGACCCTCCAAGCTCCCGATACCTCAGAACCGCCGTGCAAGCTCAGTCGCCCGCTGCTGCTCCGCTCGCTGCTGCGCTCCTGCTTCAGCCCCTGCGCTAAGTTTAGCGCATCAAAACAGTGCCCTAGCACTGACCATGCCGTGCTGGTAGAGTTCCGGTAGGCCGATCCCCCTACTGAGGCGGATACCGGTACTTATACCGGTTGGCAATGGTCTGGCCTCAATGCTGCGAGGCCAGGCCAGACCCTGGACCGTCCAGATGGACGGTTCAGCCTCAATCGGCGGGCGGCAGCTTCAAGAGCGCCGCCAGGCCCAAACGAAGTGTCGTTTGGGCCTACCCGATGGGTGATAGTCCAAAATCGGGCCTTTAGGGCCTGTAACCCCAAAGGTCGGGCCTTTAGGCCCTGGTGTGTCCCTCCGGCCCTAAGTCGGGTCCGGTAGGACCCGTGTGAGTCGAAGATGTAACACGTGCACACTCGAAACCCGAACAAAACCTCGAGAGGGAAGTGATTTGTCACTTTAACATTGCAACAGACCCGGGTGGCCGTATACGCCCGGTCACCTCTGGCCGTCGATCTTTGTACACATACTGAACGACTAGATAACACTTTCTTTCCTAACTAGAAACAAGACCGCACAACCGCACAACCCTCTACCACGACCGCAACCACACCGCCCGCATGACCGGTCGGTCCCCTTTCACCGTCAGCAACCCTTTATTGCATGCAACGACGCCCGAGTCACTGGCTGCCGCTGCCAGCAATCACCACAGGGGCCAAGTCCCGCGAGCAGCGTGCAGTGTCCTCGAAGGCTGAATCTGGACGTGTTTGTGGAGATTTGCGGTTGAGGAAGATTTTTGCGTTTTTTTTTGCTTTTTCGTTTCTGCATGCATCTACCCGCAACTCCATCCACCGGCAGAAACCTGCATACTACCTGCAACTCCGTCCACCCCAACTCCATCCACCCCCAGAAACCTGCATACAACCCGCAACTCCGTCCACCCCCAGAATTCTGCATACTACCCACAACTCCGTCCACCCCCAGACAACATGCGCCCTACGGTAGCCCGACGAATCTGGCAGACGTTACGGCTAATGCAGCCACAGAAATCCCTTCCCTACTAACTACGGGTCGTGATGCACACTGCTTGTGCAGTGTGCAGCCACATCAAACATCAAACTTTCCTATACCTGAAACCCTCCAACGACCTACACCTCCCCGCTCTTCACCGCATGACCACGCCACCCTCTTCCGACCGCAGCCACGTTACGTGAGGAAACGACCGGTCGGTCTCCTGTTGGCGGCCACAACCCTATTTTGCATGCAACGACTCCTTGTATACCCCTCTAAGATGTACTAAGCGGTCGACGACATTCCCCATATGGAATGTGATAGCTAGACGACAAAAGACATCAGTGTATACACAACCATCCTGGCTGTAAGCCCTTCCCTCCTCCTCTCTGCGGTGGGTGGAGCCATTTGGTGGGATCGTCAACAAATGTCCTGTGGTGTCTGCCTTCTCCTTGGCACGGCCCAAAACGTCCTTATTGCTGTGCCTTTTTTTTCCCTCCCCCTTCCCCCACGAAATGCCTCCTCGCTCCTTAAGCGTCACCCTTCCGCCCCTTGGCTGCGCTACCGCGCCAGGCGCGGTCTATCAGTCTAGAGTAGTGGAGCGAGACCCGATATCTCGTCGTAGATACAGTGACTCTACAGTGACTGAACGTCGAATGGACTACAGCTGAACGTCAAATGGACTCCACTACCAACTGGCCTAGCTCAGTCGGTACACCCATGAACTGTTGAAATACAGACCAGAGTTCAAACTCCACTGGAAACAGACGAGTGATATAGTACAATTCTGACCAGTCAGTTCGATGATAACATCTCAAGGCTGTTGCCCTTTTCACAAAAAAAAAAAAAAAAAAAGGACTACACTGGATCTACCGGAAAGAAACTGGCCACAGATTTCCGATGTGCATCAACGATTTATGCGTGTCACCGGGGGCACACGTGATCGAATACTACTCCTGACCGACGCGAATCGCTGCCAGTCGGCCGTGGCCCCAGGTCCCATGCTAATCTTCTTCTCTGTATCATTCCAATTTCAGCGGATGACCCGAAGAACTCTTCTGTTGTTTTTTCTTGTGTATGTTCTATCTGTAATTTCCTCGTTGATTCACGTCGTCGACTAAGTTTAGCGGTAGACAAGACAAGCTCTGTTCGCTGAATACGTGGGTCTTCCTCTTCAATCTTGAACCCGCTCGCGAGTTTCACAAGGCTACCATGGCGTCGTCAGGCAAAGCTCAAGCGGAGATGATGGTGAAGCTGTTGGGTAGCGTGTCGACCGGGCGGGTGGCCTATGTCGAAGCAGAGAAGGACTTCGTCGATGTACTGCTTACTTTACTCGCGCTGCCGGTAGGCTAACTGCTGCGTATTCTGTTGAAGACGTCGGAGACGGGAAGTGTGTCCGATATACGGGACTCCCAGTTTCTCCCCTCAATTGTGAACGTGTACTCCAGCACCGGTGACATTGATCAGGTGGCATTCGTGGCGCCGAAGACTGATTTGATGGAACCGCCATTGCCTGCTTTAAGGAACCACAAGCTGCTGATTGATTACGTGGGATCCCAAGAGCAATCACAGAGAGATCGCACCGGTGGCATTGATCAGGTGGCATTCGTGGCGCCGAAGACTAATTTGATGGAACCGCCATTGCCTGCTTTAAGGAACCACGAGCTGCTGATTGATTACGTGGGATCGCAAGGGCAATCACAGACAGACCGCAATGGTACCGATGCGGCTCGCGAGATGCATGCCCTTACATCTCGACATGAAGTTCCTTTGTCTATCCGTCGCACTAGAGTTCTGGAAAAGGTTGTAGATGTACCGAGAACGTCTACGACACTCCGTGCCTCTTTTCCCTCGCGTCGGCTCTCTCCAAGTACATCTATGATCTCTCGGAGAACGTCTACGACACTCCGTGGGCTGTCTCGAAGTACATCTATGATCTCTCCACAGCAGAGCTTTACGTGTCCAGAACACGCGGGTTCCTCAAAAGCGCTTGGTCTTGAGGTAGAAGTGGAACCGACGGTGACAGGCACATCAGGGTTTGTAAAAGAGGGCTTCACGTTCATGATAACGGATGATCTTCAGATTTTCAGATTGTCGACGATTCGCAGTATCCAGTTGCTAAATGAGATGAAGATAACGAATATGGGAGACTTGTCAGGTGTCCAAGTCAATGTGGGAAAGGAGGAGGTGACATACTTCACCCTTGCACTCGTCACGCCTTCCTCATCAATGTGATGTGCCATGAGAGAAGCGAGAGTAACTTTCTCATTATTATGATTTCTTGGTGTATTTCATGTTGCAGTATGTGTGTTAATTGCATTCACCGCTGGGTTTTGTGGTTTTACAATCATCGCCGCTGATGCCGCTCGCTGTTTCCAACCACTTTTTCGGTCACCTCTGGCGGGACGTGTTTGATTAAATGACTTTTTTCCAACTTTTACCATTGATGTCCGACGCTGCTATAACTGTCCATCTCTTGCGATTGCTATTCCATTTGCATCCGTTCTTAATTTCTTTCCCTTTCGCTTTCAAATTGCCCTTTGCAGTAGATTTTTTTGCTGATTTCTACCCTCTTCCCTAGACCACAACGAGAGCCCTCATCATGATCATGGCTGTATCGGCCAATACTCGCGTATACGCTCATTCATCTTGTGGGTCTGTTGTGCTCGGGGTAAGGCGGTGGTGGTGTTAAAACTTTAAACTTGCGGTAAGAGCGTGTAAAGAAGCAAGTAACTGCGAGAAAAAAAGATGAAAAATGTATGCGGAACCAGTGAGGTAGTCTCTGTGGGGCCTGTTTTTTTTTTTCTGTTTTCTCCTAAGTTTCTGGGTGGGCTTCGCTGACGTGTAACTGTCTTTGTGTCTCGGTTTTGGCCATTGCGTTGTTCTGGGACAGATTCTGAAGTTGATTCGTCTCGCGATCACGAGCCAGACTGGAGTGTTGACCGCAGTGTTCAGCAAACAGTTCTCGGAGCATCTGAAGGAGCGCGAGTCTCACAAGGAGACCAAATGAGTGTCGGCATTGACATGATTGACTGCATATTCGCCGCGGGTGCACAGCGATCCATAGTTGGCCAGGAGAGGGAGGTGCGTCTGTTCGGTTGATATGTGTGTTGCACTGCCGGCTGCGTTGCCATCTATTAGCAACACACTAAAAAACATTTTGGCTGTTTACAAAAGAGGAATGCACATATTATCGGGAGGGACGACAGAGAGAGGGAGGGGGTCGGTTGGGGATCGTCGGCAAGAGACATGTGAGCTCGAGCTTGTGAAATGTCAGAGTTTCTTTTCTTCTCTTCTCTTTGAATACGATGCACCATAAAACCTTGGGCTGGGGAGAAAACATGTTTGTAGATAAATTGGTGTTACACATGTTCAATCTCCTTTCTCAGGTGCTTTAGGCTGTGGATACCCTGTATTTTACTATTTTCTTTTCTCAGGCGCTTTAGGCTGTGGATACCCTGTTGTATTTGTGGTATCTTGAGACCTGTTGGACTGGTTGGAACATTGTAGGAGGACCTGTTGGCAGTGTTTGATTTCGATCCTGTGAATACCCCTCTTTCATGTTGAGCATTGATTGAATTTGATGCTACTTCCCGACCAGGCTGTGTGGCCGCGATCGGCATCCTTTCCCAATATAGAACAGAGGATAAAATTAGGGATAAGATCAGACTAGCAATACGATCAGACTACAGTCTTCCCCCGAATACAACGTACGGTCATTATAGCTGAATTTAGACTGAAAGATACACCAAATTCAGATATATTGACCATACGTTGTATTCGGGGGAAGACTGTAACGATAAGATCAGACTAAGTATATGCTTGGCGGTGTTATGGATGTGTTTTGTAGAGGTCGTCACGATAGAGAACGAGAGTTGAAGAGCACGCGGTGGTCCTTACGTGGGTCGGAGCAGTAGAGAACACCCTGTCAGGATGAGTATCGGAGGACAGGATTAGCCGCATCTTCTTAAGCGGTGTTATGTCGCGGAGATCGCGTGTTCGAGTCACGTCGGGATACGAATTGTGAGCATCTCTGGTCGTGTTAGGTCGTCGTTCGGTGCCTAAGGGGGTCGTCAAGAGGAAGGAATTTCATCATTTCGGACCTGAAGTGTTGCCTTCTTGCTCGTTTTGTCGGTTGTTTCGTGACGACCATTTCAGAGTCCACTTCATTTCATGAGTTCTTGCCACGTCATCCACTTGCTTGCTCCCGTAGATCGAAGGGGCGATGTTCGGCGTCCTCTGGATTATGCAGCCGGGGTAGTAATCCCTTTGACCCCGAGATGTCATGATGTACAACGATGGCGACGGCGTGTGATTGAAACAGTCGACGAGGGCGGCGATTGATTGATTGAAACAATCAACGGTGGCGATTGATCGAATTAATCAGCGGTGGCGATTGATCGAACCAATGAGCGATGACTGTAGTGACCGGTATTACAGACAAGAACGAGGGCGTTGCTTTTGTTTTTAAGCCACGAAGATATTAAGGCTCGTCAGGATTTTGATGAAGATTGCATAACGATACGGTAATCGTTTCAATAGAGTTAAAGAGCGGTGATGTAGTACACAGCACTGTCATCACAGGTGTTGACATCAGCATGAATACTCATCTGAAGACTCTGTGAAGCTCACAGCTCTGAAGGTTCAAGAATCCTGTTAAGCTGGATGATCTCAGCGCTCGCGGAAATTCCATGTAGCCGGTACCGGCGGTACGTGATTCTTCCTAGGGCGCCAAGCCAAGGGGGTTCCTGCATGGATACGGTTGGTACGCTACGAGTCGATTACACACCAGGGGCCAAGCCAAGAGGGGTGTTCCTGCATGCAGACGAGTGGGACAAGACAGAGGAGGGGGACGTGGAAGGGGCCGTGGGTGTGGGCTGTAGAAAGGACGAGTATAGGTACCTCTTGTACTACATTAGCATGCGTAGGGTCTGCTGCTGCTGAGCTAAAAATAGAGCTCGGCGTGATTGTGTTTGTGATCTTCTCACAGTTCATGTTGAGGCAACGGGGTTTTGCGCCATCGCACGTCGGTAGTTTGTTGGCGGTGAACGCGAACGCAGCTGGTCGATCTGTAAAGCCGGAGATAGCTTTGCATGCCTGGCTGGAACAAGGAGACGACACAGCAAACACACAATGGCAGTTACTGCACCGCAGTCTGCATGTGTCGTTGGATAAAGCAGAAAAAAACTTTTAAGGAAAAAAAGAGGGATGAAGGAAGAATTATCGCATACTCCTTAGACCAACTCGAATTGACCATGGTCTTGATAACTGTGGTTAGGTTTGGGCTGTAGCCTGTAGGCTGTAGATGATCAAGAATGGGTGCTCCAATAGACCAAACTGTGTTTTACTCTCGTTGCTGACTCACGTTTGTTGAAATCAGAGGCTCGTGCTGTCAACGTCAGTGTGGTCTGCATGACTGCGGTTAGGACTGGGATTTAGGCTATCCGTCATCATCAATATCGATGGTTCTACTCGCTGAACGGTGTCGTCCTCACTTGGCTACCTAGAGTTTGCTCAAATCAAAAGGCTTAGCAGCCTTAGCTTATGTTGTCATGGTTACCATGGGGTTACCAAGGTGTTACCATGGTGTTACCATGGTTATCATCACGGCCATGGTTGCCGTCGTTGCCATGTCGGCCATGGTTGAAAATTGAAATCATGGTCTTGCTATCCTGTGGTTAGGTCTTGGTTCGCATGGATGCATATGGAATCCCTACGTTGCGTACGTTTTCTTTTTTACTCTCGACCATGGCGAACATCTGAACGGTGTTTTCCACATTTCGCAGACCAAATTAGGTATGCTTGTGTTCTAATGAATCAAATCGGACGGTTAGGTCATTTTGCTGGTGATCAAGGATTCATGAAGAACGGGTTTCGTATTATTAGAACATGAGAAGTGAAGTGCCAGAAAAATGACATGCCTCCCCACCAAGCGCTGGTAGGAAGATCACAATAATCCCTATCTGGAAGCAGGACAGGAAGGAGGAAGCATTACGTACCTAGTGTATGCGGTTCCTCTCCTAGGCCGAGGGTGAATCTGTTCCAGTTTTTTTTTTTTTTTTTTTTTTTNTTTTTTTTTTTTTTTTTTTTTTTTTTTTTTTTTCGGGGCTTTCAACGGTCTGGATCTCGGAGATGAATGACGTGATAAGTGAAATGCAGCTGTTCTGGGAATGCTCTATTGGTGCTGTGTTTTTTTGTTGGCCAGAATTCAATTTTTTTGGAGTGGAATTGCAGAAATAACCATTTTTAGCATCTCCCGGCACATAGACCTCAACAGCAAACCTTCATGTTAGCACTTAGAAAGTCCTCTTTTTTATCTGAGTCAGCAATTCCCCACTGTCATGGGAGAAGTAACTTTCTGAATAGCAACAATGTCTTTCTGGTCGAAGTATATTCGCGGGTTAATTTAGTACCCAACACCGGTCGTGTTCCTAAAAGCTGGTATTTCTCCAAGACGCTAACAATAAAGCCATCACCGAGTTCGAACAGGGGCCGACAGGTCTCTGCAGACTGTAACATCAGACAAGCCCTGGCTCCGCAGCAACGGTCGGGACATCCTCTCCCCTAATAACACCACGTCTGACTCTTCCCCTTCGTCAACTGAAAAACAATTCTCTCTCATTCTCTTTCGACTTCTAGAGGACACCCAAAGCTGCAACTACAGGAAATTCCAGACAGGTTCCTGAGTTGTGATAGGACAGGCTGCAGGTTCGAGTCTAGCTCGAATGAGTGCCTGCACTCGGAATCTGCCACACATTTGCATCTTCGGCGGGGTAAACCCCCCAGCCCTGCCTGAGGGGACAGTCCCAAGGCTGTTTAGATGTTGTATGGGGGTTCTCGCCATGGAGCGTGGTGCTGGCTGCTGTGCCGTACCTCTGGTCATGACGAGGGGGAGTCCGTGAATAGCTCCGCGTGGCCGTAACCCTGTGCCCTTGGTGGGCCCTGTTTTTGGGCCCGACGGTTGTTCCAGGCCCCCAGGGGGTGCACCCATTTTTGGTGAGCGACCTGGAGGCCCATGGCCATATTCTAGGCCAGGCACACAGTTCGTCTCTCTTTTTTATACAGGCTAGTTCTTTAAGCCCAACCAATTCAATTACCTGCTGAATCTGGACAGGACGGCCTTTCAGGCCTTTTTTATTGTCATTATAGTATTACGGGGAACCCGTAGCAGCCACTTCCGTGTGCTCAAGCCTCTAACGAGGGAACATGCGGGAGCTGCACCCACCAGCAGGTGGGCGATACGGGCCAGGGGTCAGCCGGTAGCATCAGGACCGAGCTTCTTCGATGGCCCAGTCAGTGTGCCTCCCCTCCGGTCCCCTCCCTCTATGCACACACTTGGTTCCATGTGTGCTCTCCTTTCTTCAGCATTTATTATTTTTGCTGGGTTTTGTCTGGACTAATTTTGTCTGTTTCAGATGTGTTGGTTCGGACTTTTCTTTTTGTCCGAACAGGCATATGCCTGTTCGGTTAGGCCAGGTTCAGATTTGTCCATATG